TTTGACTGTAACTAGTAATTAAATCTGGGTCATTTGTATTTTGAGCAAAGTTTTGGGGGTGGGCCACAAGGAATTATTGCTAACCGCCTAACCTTTACAGATTATTTCCAGCCCCCCCCCCTCACAGTACTTTTATATGCCTATTGCTCAAATCCCTAACAAACTGGCTAAACAGGCCCTGTTTTAGTTGCTAACATATTTACTCATCTAGTTTTTGTGTGGGTTTTTATGTTCAACACGAACGGCTAGATGGACAGTAAAAATTTGTCAAATAACATGTCAAATAAAAATATGACCACTGACACTGTCCTTTCATGAATATGCATGAAAGATGAATCGACATCACATAATACTATTTACATATTTCGCCAATAAGTATCGATATTTAGAACTTACCTTGTCCACAATGAGGACAAAAGTTGTTACTTATCTCCTTTTCCTTTCCGCAATTGGAGCAGAACATGACCTTGCCTGATTTATTTATACTAACTTAACTTTTGTTTTGTTTTGTTTTCGTTTCCTAAGTAGCGCGCTCGAAAGTCAAAATGGCGCCAATTTACGGACAAACTATAATGTTTTCATAGCATGAAGTTGTAGATGGGTAAAAGATGCAACCGCTGACCAAACCGCTGACCAGTTTTTTAATTTTTATTTTGCCGTGAGGAATTTGCTCTTGCCGTGGGTATTAAATTTGCTCTTGCCGTGATGAATTCGCTCTTGCCGTGGGCAATTTGCTCTTGCCGTGGATAATTTGCTCTTGCCGTGACGAATTTGCTTTTGCCGTGACGAATTTGCTCTTGCCGTGATGAATTTGCTTTTGCCGTGGCATATGTGGGCCACCGTAGTATGTAGAGTAAAAATATAAATATTTGAAAGAAAGAAAGAAAGAAATTCCGCTTCTACCCTGCGGTGCAGACGGCCTCCCTGCTGCGGAACTTATATTAGTGTGTTTAATTGAGAACCTTTCATGCAAAATTTTGTCAACGCATCCGGCGGAGGCTTTGTCTCAATTCGAACTTTATTATTACCCATTGTGGATAGTGTTGAACACATTGATTTGCAATACAGTTGCTTCAAATGCATCAAACGTAAAAGCAAAACGTACTGAACAAATCCGATATAGTTTATATATTCTCAAAGGTTGACTGTACCGTATTTTTTGTTTTCAAAAGCGGTCAGATTTGCGAGGTTCCCTTGACATGTTTGACGCCTTGAGTTCTCGATTACATCACGGATTACATAAGCCGATTTTGTGTTAAAATCAAACGATTCATTTAAAATATACAACCTTGTGCCTCTGCAGTGGCAATTATAATTTTGGTTAGCACATTTTCCAAGTGTTATATAAGCAAATTCTCGCATATTCTATTGAAGTTTTATTTGCATGCTTGTCTGCATTTATAAACATGTATAACAAGTGTTTTTCTTCACTTTGACTTTGTCCTTGTTCGGAAATTAACTCGCCGCTTTCACTACTCAAGAACTAAAGAAGATTTGCGAGGGAAAACTTAGTAAAGAAAAAAATAAAACCAAATTAAAACCTGTCAAGATTATGTAGCTATTTTAGCTACACTTCACGAATACGTTCGGTGCATGTGTAGAATTATACGAAGTATAAAAGTAGAATTATACTGAACCGTACCTTTTCCTTTGCGTTCGGGTTTTGCCAGTTGATTGGTATACTCCTTTTCACCTTGCAACTTCGCTTCTATAGTATAGTACCAGATTTATCTCTCGAAAAATCGATTATTTTATTATTTCTAAGAAGCGCTTCATAACAGTCGCATTGTCAACGTTAAGCACGAATGCATCTGCACTTCAAGTACAATTACATTATATGCAAATATAGATTAGCGGTACGTCATGAAAACCGCTTCTTCTAATATATTATTCACTACGAAGCTAGACAATCTGGAATTTGCGACTAGTATATATAAAAATTGACCAAGCCTTTACAAAAACTTTGGCTTTATAGGCTTTAATTTGTGACTAGTTGAAGTGTTATGTTCTCTAAAAATTTCACTAAGTTTTAAAAAATATATTTGACCATCGGGAATTATCTAACCAGTACGGTAAGATAGAAGATATAGGAATCATAAGATACCACAAAACTATTCCCCAGAAATTTCTTTATCGGGTTGTGGGGTGTTTTATTCTCTCGATCCTTTACAAGCAATGTGAAGGAAATATTTTTTGTCAGATCCGTATCTGGGCAGGAATAAAAACGAAAAAATTGTTGTCGCAAATCTCAGAATTCTGAATGTAGTAGTAAAAGACATGGAACATTCTGATCACTGGATGATGACTAAATGGCATGGAGAACAGTCAGATTTTCAAAACAATGCAACGACAATGGAACAATCTGATCACTGGATGGCATGAAGAACAGCGAGATTCTCAAAACAATGAAAATACGAAAATTTTCATTGTTTTGAAAATCCCACTGTTTTCCATGTCATCCAGTCATGATCCAGTGATCAGAATGTTCCATTGTCTTTTCATTGTTTTGAAAATTCCACTGTTCTCCCTGCCATCCAGTCATGATCCAGTGATCAGAATGCTTCATTGTCTTTTCATTGTTTTGAAAATCTCACTGTTCTCCATGCCATCCAGTCAGATTCCAATGATCAGAATGTTTCATTGTCTTTCATTGTTTTGAAAATTCCACTGTTCTCTATGCCTTTCAGTCACACCAATAGTTTTGACCTGTCTTTAATCATATGCAAAGGGCAATGGTTAAATTCATGATGAATTCGGGTGACTTTCCATATTGTTGTTTCAAAATGATGATTCAAGGACTTGGGTTGGGTCAGGATTGCAAGAAATAGTTTAAGAATATAAATCTCTGAATGTAAAATTTAGTTTGTTGATATATGCAAATTAAACCCTATGTTCTCAGGCATCTTTTCCAGCCAAACGGTAATAGAACGTTTGCACACGACGTCGCAGCCGCCATGTTGGTGTTCCAATTCAAAAGAATTTTAATTAAACTCTTTTGTCTGGAACACCAACATGGCCGCCACGACTTTTGTTGAGTTGTTCCCTGAGGAATGAGTGCAAACGCTCTATACCACACTTTGGTACGGTGATATTTATGTCAGCTTTCTTTTCCAGCTTCAAGCCGCGCTCAAACGAGGATGGGAAATGATGAGAGTTGGCAGGTGAGAGTTTGCATGAGAGTTTTCTTTACATGAACCCATGATAAACGAGCTCTAGAGTTGCATTATAGACTGAGAGTTGATGAGAGTCGACTGTATATTACTATGCAATGAAGTCAAACGAACCAAATATTTTTATCAACCCCCATCAAAATTTGAATCAGCTCAAAGTTGATGAGAGTTTATAGTCAAACGCAAGCGAGAGCTTCGACTCCCATCAACTTCTGAGTCAGAACCACTAATCAAAACAGATCCCACCTATGAGCGACGCAGTTTGTATTTAGTTATGCAACGTGCCAATTTTTTTGCTTCTGACTCCTACATATCAGCAGTTATCAGAGTGAGAAAATCGTGTTAATTTTTGTCATAAATGTAGTGATCTTGTATTTAGTGCATGCAAAATGTATAAAAGAGAGAGAGTTGTAGTAGCAATTGCTGTCGCAGCGAGCGAGCCTTTAGCGTGCGAGCAATGCAGCAGACTAAAATGATACAGTTGTACAAAATCTCAATCTGAGTGGAGCCGCAAGGCATGGTGGTTCCAACTGAAAGATAACCACAATGCAAAGCGAAATTGTTGCGCAAACATTGTATTTCAAAGCTAAAACTAGGTTACCCACAGGGCAGTAATGCTGCCTTTGACAGCAAAAGACAAACTACAGGGTGTTGATGAGTCCTTCAGAAACATCCTATTATTGTTTAGCCTGCATGGCAGGCGGTTCCTAAAATTGGGCAAGCCTAGGAAATACCTCCTGCCATGCAGGCTAATTATTGTTATCCTTGTTAACCCATTTGACAGTACCCTACCACTGACTGAGTATTAAAAATCGTCTGGCGTTGGACAGGGTAAATCCTAAAGTCGGGGTCATTACTGTGCTGATGAATTAACAAGAGCCATTGGCAGATAGGTTTGTTAACCCATTTACTGGCAGTACCCTATACCACTGACGAGTAAAATCTTCTGGCGCTCGACAAGGGAAGGGCGCATTGCCAGCTAATGGGTTAAACCACCGTGGTTAAACATAAGATTTCATGATGCTCCAGGAAATGTAAACAAGCTATGAGTGTGACATCCCAGTTTATATATTTATATACTCGGAATATTGATTTCTCGGTACATACAAAATTATTTTAAAGTATAACAACCAGCGAAGACGTATGGCACTAACTACCCTGTGCGGCTGCGCGCAGACTATATAACGACATATATATGTCATCCATCCGGTCCGTCCGTCATTCATCCGTCCGTATCCGCGTTTTATCCTAACCCGTTTTTAAAACACAAAGTTTGCATTTAATTAAGGCAGTGCGGTTCGTCATGATCAATATTTTCAAAAGCGGCCAATTAGACCAGGGGTTAAAGGGCAATGACAATGACATGCAGGTGACATTTAACATTGCGTCTCACTAATTAAAATTTGCGTGTTTAATTATCAAAGAAAGCAAAAATATATGCAAGACAATCTCACATGTGGAGTTTTTTCACTTACAGTACGTACTGCCTTGTGATGCAGTACAAGTATAAATACAAAAGACAAAGCATTTGTAAATCCTAAAAGATAATTAAATTATACGGCACATTTAAGATTTTAATATCGTATTTCAGCCGCGTTTATACTGTTTGGCGCATTCGCTGCGTTATATTCATTTACATGTATATACACAGAAAAGCATGTCATTGTCCTTGCAGACCATAGGCAAAAAGCATTTGTCAAACATGCACATACCAAATTTAAGCAATCGTTAAATCATATACATGTCATGGAAAGAATATGGAAATAATGTTGAATGAAAGCTAGCATCGCGTTAATATTAAAAGCACCGCATATAGTGCTCGAACCACTGCGTATAATTGCAAAAGCATCGCGTATATAAATGGTGAAAGCACCGCGTATAATACTGGAACCTCCGCGTATAATACTGGAACCACCGCGTATAATGGCGAAAGCACCGTGTATAATGCCAAAAGCACCCAACAAAATGCCGTTTGATCACTTTAATTAAGCCAGCTATGGCTTTCCTACAGAAGCCCAGAGGCGACAGCATAAAACCACTTTTGTATTTTACATTTTTGTGTTTTATATTTTGTATTTTTGTGTTTTATATTTTGTATTTTTGTGTTTTACATTTTGTATTTTATATTTTGTATTTTATATTTTGTATTTTATATTTTGTATTTTATATTTTTGTGTAATTATAATGTTCTTAGACGTGGGATTATAGGCATTTAGTAATACAAATTGTGATATTTAACAACAATGCATATGTCAAAACAAGATTACAAGCTATAGAGGCATTGTATTTTGACTGCTCGAAATGCGTGTTACATACTGAACGCTTGTTTAAAGAGCATTATCGCGCGCATTACTAAGATACGCATACCGAATTCGCCATGCAGACATTAGCATTGCTCCCGTAATAAGGCTCGGTTTAGACGGCGACATTTTCAAGCGCTTCATTTCTTATGGCACAAGTTCGGCAACTGATTTAGAGTTTAGACGCCGCTCTTCTAGATCTGTCGTACTTATAAATCGTTGTATTACGGGTTCGGCGCATGAGAAAGTTCGCCGTCTAAACCGAGTCTAAGGCTGTCTGCATGGCGAATTTGGTATGCGTATCTCAGTTATTGATATGCGCGCGATACCAGTAATGCTCTTTATTTAAACAAGCGTTCAGTATATATGTAACACGCATTTCGCGCAGTAAAATACAATGTCTCTATAGCTTGTAATCATGTTTGACATATGCATTGTTGTATCAAAGTAAAAAGCTGAGCTGAAACATAATGAAACTAAGTAAAAATATAAAAGTGACAATATAAAAGTGACAATATAAAAGTGAAAATATAAAAGTGAAAATATAAAAGTGAAAATATAAAAGTGAAAATATAAAAGTGAAAATATAAAAGTGAAAGTATAAAAGTGAAAATATAAAAGTGAAAATATAAAAGTGAAAATATAAAAGTGAAAATATAAAAGTTAAAGTTGGTGATGAGCGTCTAAGCAGGAAGACCACCTGGGGCTATGGTATGTGTGATTCAGCATTTCATTGATGTCTGACTTGGAACCGAAAGACACGATGTCGTCGGCTGCTGACATGGCCGGAAATCCACTGCATATCGCAGTAAAACCGAATCCAGCTTTCGCGCATGTAACCGTCTTTATACGCATGGCCTAAAAGCTTTCTTACTGTCAAAATAAGTTGTGCCTAAAACTGTAAAAGTTAAAATATAAAAGTTAAAATATAAAAGTTAAAATATAAAAGTTAAAAGTGAAAATATAAAAGTGAAAATATAAAAGTGAAAATATAAAAGTGAAAATGTAAAAGTGAAAATATAAAAGTGAAAATGTAAAAGTGAAAATATAAAAGTGAAAATATAAAAGTGAAAATATAAAAGTGAAAATATAAAAGTGAAAATATAAAAGTGAAAATATAAAAGTGAAAATATAAAAGTAAAGTTAGAGATGAGCGTCTAAGCAGGAAGACCGCCTGGGGCTATGGTATGTGAGGCGGTAGGTAAAAGGCGGACGGACGGCGGACGACGGACGATGGAGCTTTTTATAAACACATGATTACTGCCGTAACTAATTATAATACCCTAAATTGAAGTACACCAGCCTTAGATCTGTGAAATGAATATGTTTTCACCGGTTCGAATTTTTAGCAATGGAATTTAATTAGCATTGAATACGTATGTATGATAGGAGGCTACTCTCCGTCTTTCGCGTACCCTGGATTCCAGAGCCTTCGACAGTAAATAATAAATTGAAATGTCGCGAAGGCTCTGGTTCAACGGGGAGATCCTTTGATTTAATCAATAGCGGTTTAATCAAAGGATCTCCCCGTTGAACCAGAGCCTTCGCGACATTTCAATTTATTATTTACTGTCGAAGGCTCTGGAATCCAGGGTATCTTTCGCGTGAAACTTTTGGAAATATTGTAAAAAAAGCGCCTTAGTTTTGGTGCTTCTGTATATAACTGCCCTAACACTGCCATTGAATTAAAATATTATTAGACATTTTTCAAACAGCTTGTTACACTGATTATACTGTGTGACATTTACATATATAGTAGATACTGGCTAGTATTCCAAAGGTCGTAGGTTCGATTCCCACCGTGGACAGGGATATTTTTCAAGCTTGCCCGGTCTGGATATACACTCAGAGTAACATCACAAGCATCATATTCACCTGAGTACATTACACCAACACGGTAAAAAGTTATAGTAGATATTATAATATATCATATTTACATAAATATTTCCACTTTTTTACAATATTTCCAAAAGTTTAAGTTTCCCGAGAAGGACGGCGTATAGCCATCATATATAAGTATTAAATTAAATTCCATTGCTAAAAATTCGAACGGGTGAAAACATATTCATTTCACAGATCTAAGGCTGGCATACTTTAATTTAGGGTATTATAATTAGTTGCGGTAGTAATCATGCCTTTATAAAATGCTCCGTCGTCCGTCGTCCGCCGTCCGTCCGCCTTTTATCTACAGCCTCACATACCATAGCCCCAGGTGGTCTTCCTGCTTAGACGCTCATCTCTAACTTTACTTTTATATTTTCACTTTTATATTTTCACTTTTATATTTTCACTTTTATATTTTCACTTTTATATTTTCACTTTTATATTTTCACTTTTATATTTTCACTTTTATATTTTCACTTTTATATTTTCGCTTTTATGTTTTCACTTTTATATTTTCACTTTTATGTTTTCACTTCTATATTTTCACTTTTATATTTTCACTTTTATATTTTCACTTTTATATTTTTACTTAGTTTCATTATGTTTCAGCTCAGCTTTTTACTTTGATACAACAATGCATATGTCAAACATGATTACAAGCTATAGAGACATTGTGTTTTACTGCGCGAAATGCGTGTTACATACTGAACGCTTGTTTAAATAAAGAGCATTATCGCGCGCATATCAATAACTTATAGATACGCATACCGAATTCGCCATGCAGACAGCCTTAAGGTCCATACAGACCGAACGCGATTCGACAACGCGACGCGAATTTTCGGTTTTTAAAAACAAATAAAACTGTCAACGGATAAAAATTTTACAAGATATGCAGACCAAATAGCTAAAATTGCTCAAGTGGTTCCGAATATTTGAAAAACATAGATGTTATTGAAAAATGAAATGTCACTGAAATTGATAATTCGCGTCGCCGACGACAGATCTAGAAGAGCGCCGCGGCGTCTAAACTCTAAATCAGTTGCCGAACTTGTGCCGTAAGAAATGAAGCGCTTGAAAATGTCGCCGTCTGAACCGAACCTTAATATTACGGGAGCAATGCTAATGTCTATGATGGCGAATTCGGTATGCGTATCTTAGTAATGCGCGCGCGGTAATGCTATTTAAACAAGCGTTCAGTATGAAACACGTACAGTGTACACGCATTTATTTTTTTGTAATCATGTTTTGACGTTGTTGTTAAATATCACAATTTGTATTACTAAATGCCTATAATCCCACGTCTAAGAACATTATAATTACACAAAAATATAAAATACAAAATAAAAAATACAAAATATAAAATACAAAATATGAAATACGAAATATAAAATATAAAATATAAAATACAAAATATAAAACACAAAAATACAAAATATAAAACACAAAAATACAAAATATAAAACACAAAATACAAAATACAAAAGTAATTTTATCCTGTCGCCTCTGGGCTTCTGTACTTTCCATAAAAGAAGACCAAAGATGAAACATGATCACATTGCCTGTTTGCCTTATGCCTGACCGCGCTGCACCACGGTTAAAATTCACTGGTACCGTCATGCAATGCGCCAAATAGAAAATTTTGATTTCGACCCACAAAACAAAATTAGGATCTGCTGCCTTGCTCGCTCGCTTCAGGCTCACTCGCTGCGGCAGCAACAAGATTAACCGAGATGGAAAACAAAGGATAACAGTTTTAGCCAGAGAGCGCATTGCCAATTCAAGAAAATACATCAAAGCAAAATGACAGCGCCGCAGACAGTGATTTGAGCTACGCGAAAACAACTCTAAACTACGACTACGCGAAAACACGTACCGAGAAAGTTTTAGAACAGGCTTGGATACTAAACGTGATCAGATAAAATTTGATTTTGAGAGCATAATTAGCAATTTTCATATCGCCAGTGTTTATAGAATATTAGTTGCATGGCTTTGCGGATGCTATAGGAATAAAGCGTTTTCAGTTGCTATGTATATATTTTATGTCGAACGCAAAATGAAATAGTTGCACGAATGATAGCGAGTGAATCTCGATCGACTTGCGCCACTTAAAAAGTTAACTATATATCTAGGTTAGGTTAATGTCTGCCACTTTGTTAGCTAGAATGGCGCGCATGCATGACTAAGAGCGCTTTAGAATCACAATTAGACATAAGCAGAATAACATATTGGCTTGATAGTAAAACTGTATTATGTTGGATGCAGAACCGAGGAGAGCGGAAACAATTAGCCTTTCTCACGAAGGCCAAATTTGGGGTATTAACTTTTTTGAAAACGACGTGAAAATTCTAAGCGATATGAAAACATTTTTTCAAATATTTACTGTAAATTAACTTATAATGATCGTACTCACAATTATAGTTATAGAAATCCCTTGTTCACTGCGTACAATCTCAGATTTGGAAAAGGCAGTATACCCCAAAAATGGCCGGCGGCGTGAGAAATAGAGTAAATGAAATTTTACAATAAAGTAAGAGGATCAACATGTACACAGTATGTTCTAGCCTCTATTTTTCTTGACCTCGACACTTGAAGTTGTGCCAAAAAGGCAGCATTTATTTTACTACATTTTAGGTATAACCTAGTTTATTTGCTCTTACAAGTGTCAATATTTCTGACCTTGACCACGATCTGTTGTCGTGTGATGCTTACTGCAACACTTCCGTTGTCTGTGGCGCAGTGAAAATGGTATGATGTATAATATCCTTAAAAAAAATTATTATTTCTATAAGTTTATCGATGTTCACGCCGTATATAATTAGCCCTTGGTCTTTGTTTACATACTGTCGAAAAATGTCTTGATTCGCTGGTTGTTCCCACCATATTTGTGGGTCATTGATCGTTACTTGCTGTCGATCAGCAGTCCTTGTGTTCAGGTCACACACTACAGCATGACCCACACCATTAGGATCTGGATTCAATCTTGCAAGTATCAATACCTGTACATACTCTATAGACATAGTCATTATTTCTTTCCATACATGATCTATTTCTTGATCACGGTTTTCGGCATTAGAAGAATACTCATACCTGTTAACTTCACAAACAAGTCCACATTTTATTAACATAGCCAATAAGTTTTCACACATAAGATCTTCTTTTTGAACGTTCTCAGCTGCGTACATAGATATAAGTTTTTCCAACTGGCGATCACAAAGAAAGGCATTCAGAATCCGTCGGCAAACCCAATGTATTGATGACAAAACACAACTATATACACACATGTTACCGTTATAGTATAAGTATTGGAGAACCTCATCCTTTATTGCTTCTTTGTCAACTTGTTTGTAGCGCTGATTTAGTTCCTCATTAATACAGTTTTTGTCTTCAGAAAATTTTAATTTAATACGCAACTCTCTATATTGGCTTTCTAATTTTCTGTTGGATTCTTTTAGCTCATTTTTTTCTTTTTCAGTCTGCTTCAAACGCTCAACAATTTTCTTCACCTCTTCGATATTCTGGGTTTTTTCACAACGTAGTTGCTCTTCCAATTTTTTTGCATTTCTCAATATAGAGTTTCGCTATTGCCTCCCAACTACGCGCTGATTTTTGTTTCTTGTGGCCTTCCATGGTTAAGCTTTGCCTTTGGTATATTTTACTAAAAGTAAGAAATGTTAAATGTAATAATCTGTCTAAGCCCATGCTAATGTATAATAATCTCACATAAGCCCATCCGAATATTAGCCCACCTGAATATTAGCCCACCCGAATATTAGCCCACCCGTGTATAAACGTATTTATCAACGCGGCGACGGGGATTGCAACAGCTCAGACGAGTGACGATAATTACATTACATTGATCATCTGATGGTTGGTTCTTCAAGGGTGTCTCCTGTGCCTATCGTAAAAAATCTTGGGACGTGGTTCGACTCGAACTTAAATTTGAGAGAACATATCAATAAAACTTGTAGGGCTGCACATTTTCAACTTCATAACATCAGACATATTCGAAAGTATCTATCTGACGCAGCAACAAAAACCTTAGTTCATGCGTTTATCATTGGGCGCATAGACTATTGCAACAGCCTCTTGTATGGTTTACCATCCGTCCATCTAAACAAACTACAGCGTGTACAGAACTCTGCTGCCAGACTAATTTGCAATATTTCCAGATACGAACATATAACACCTGTACTGTATACTTTACATTGGTTACCTGTTCAGTATCGAGTCAATTTTAAAGTTCTTATTCTCGCCTTTAAGGCAATTCACGGACTTGCTCCTGTTTATATAAGTGATCTGATATGTATCAGAGACAAGTCATCTTATAGTCTTAGATCAAATAATACAGGTTTACTGCTTGCACAGCCAAGGGCTAGATTCAAGAAAACATTGGGAGACAGATCATTTACATCTGCTGCCCCAAAACTGTGGAACATGTTACCATGTCACATTAGAAATACGGACAGTTTTAACAGTTTTAAAAAGAGTTTAAAGACACATTTATTTAGATTAGCTTTTGATATAAATACATAGATAGGTATACTTCAATTTTAACTATTTTAATACTTTATTGTACAGCGCATTTGATCATATACAAATGCTAATTTGCGCTATATAAATTGTAATTATTATTATTATTATTATTATTGGTTAGCAGTCACATAGTAAGGTACGGGACTAACCCTTCAGACAATAATCCCATTTGCAGAACAAAATATTTATTTTTTTGGAGCGTTTTTGCTTTCAGAAAGCAAATTTTGTTTGTGATACTATATTTTGGATGGTGGCTAAAAGAACCTCTTTCAGGAAATATGAAAATGTTGACAGCACTGAACCTCTAATATCAGTTTTTAAAATGCGTCTTACTTGATATTATGTATTTATTTTAATTTTTCGGCCTTACTAAAACCTACTTATACTTGTATTGTTTCGTGTATTTAGTGTTGAGTCTGGTGAAAAGGACTTGCAAGATCTCGCACAGTATCACGTAGATTATGACGTCATTATTACGTGGATTACAGCCAATCAGAAGCAACTTCAGGATGTGAAAGATGATGATGGCAAAGATAGAGAGAGCATTGAAACACGACGAGTTATTCTTAAGGTACTTCGTGTTATTACATATGCAAGGTTGCTTGAGCTTTGACAGCTTTACTGAGAAAAAAATGTCTCATCTAAGATTACGTTGACGCGAGGCTGGATGAACTTCAAAACTGTTACTCAAATTTGTCCTACAGGAAGAAACCTAAACTAAACTAACTTTCTTTACACTGAATAACTCTATCAGTTCTAAACTATTCTTCCTAGAGGTCTAGTAAGGATCATCTCGTATTGATCCATGATTACTGCAGGAGGAAACCTAAACTAAACAAACTTATATTGGATAACTCTATCAGTTCTAAACTGTTCTTCCTAGAGGTCCAGTAAGGATCATCTCTTATTGATCCAGTGTTGCCACAGGAGGAAACCTAAACTAAACAAACGTTATTTATACTGGATAGTTCTATAAACTGTTCTCCCTAGAGGTCCAGTAAGGATCATCTCGTATTGATTCAATGTCACTACGGGAGGAAACCTAAACAAATCAAAATTTTATTTATATACTGGATAGCTTTATATATTAATTCGGTCTCGTTACATTTGTCAAATAGTGTTCATTTGGAAACGTATGATGAAATAACAAAACTTGTTTTCTTTAGAACATAACTGATGAATTTCCTGAATACAAAATCAAACTGCATGAAGTGTTTGGTAAGGGTGAACATTTATCCGATACTCCAAGTATACCACAGGATGACAGAGACGACATCAAGAAACAGTCAGATGACTTGGAACAGAAATTTAACGCGTTAGAAAATGATGTTGGGGACGAAGATAAGAGGTAGGTTCTAGTTTAACCGTTTATTGACCAACAGCTCTCACTAACAAAACATTCTGGTATTAACTATGGCTTATAAAGTGTTACCGGCAATAATGATTTGGTTTGGTTTATTTCAAAAAAAATATTAATACCATAAAAAGTAATTAATCACCACATCATATATTTATACGTCCGTTGAGGACAACAAGCCAGAGTATAATTTCTGGTTGGGACAACTGATTACTGCAGGAACCCTGGTCACGAGGCAAACACACATAGACAGCCACTCTTTATTTATTAAATCATTAATTAAAATCTTTAGACTGGACGAGAACCTGAAAAATCTGGATAAGTATGAAAGCTGGCAACAGAGATCAGATGATCTCAAAGAAAAACTTGATGAGACGAAAGATAACTTGGACAAGCTTGATACACCAACCAGTGATGTGGAAGAACGAGAGAAACAGAAACGCTTCTTGATTGTAAGTTGCTTTCTCTGTTTCTTCGTGATTTCTCTTAGAAAAATAGGATGGTTTTGTGTGAGACACAGTAGTTGAAAGTGTCACAACACTTTGATTAAGAAGCTAGCAGCCTAGCAAGATCGTCATGCAAAGTTAGCATATCTAACTTAACCCATAAAATCGTCTGGCGTTAGGCAATGTCAGAGTGAAATAATAAAATCGGGTGCATTGGGACGCATTGCAGCTTGAGGGGTTAAAGCATAAAGATTTCCTTCCACCTAAAACCTACTCACTTCAAGACTGATGAAGCTTGTCGGGCAATGGCCATAGGTTTTAATTACATACCCTTGCAACAACCAACTTCGAACGCATTTTTGTTTCTGACCAATGCAACTACGATACTGGTGAATGAAATCTTGAATATTTCCCTAGGACTTCAATAAAAAGAAAGCTGCGCAAGAAAAAACAATAAATGATGTCGTCCGCGATGGTCAGAAGATGATCGATGAGCATATTGTTCCCACTGACAAATGTGAGAAGGTTGAACTTGATCTTCAATCATTGCCTGAAACCTGGGATGATCTCGTGGCCAAGGCTGATGAGAACAAGAAAACGTATGTGACGGTTCGTTTATTGAAGATGATCATTACTGGACCTCTTAGAAGAACAGTTTAGGACTGATAGACCTTTCCAGTATAAATAAAGTTAGTTTAGTTATGTGTCTTCATGTAATAACACTGGATCAACAATATAAATTTCTGTTAGTGTTGACACGAGTCTGCAAGATGCAGTACAGCTGAACAAATGGCGCAATGACTACAATGTGGTTTTACTATGGGTTGAGAAAGCTGAAGAGAAACAGAATCAGCGTGATGAAGATGGTGATGATCTTGACAAATTGAAGAAACAACGCAAAAAACTGGAAGTGAGTGTGACGTTCATATAAAATTCTGATTGATGCCATTATGAAGGAACACTTTCTACTCCTGTGACTAGAATTCAACTGCTCTTGTAGTTGTATCATGTAGTAGCATTTTGGATTAAGTAGACGCTTCTCGAATTTTGATTGAGCGCTCACGAAACAATAGCTTGAAATTGAAGCAATGTAATCCATTGTAAATAAGTAATATCCTAAGTATATTCGATTCTTTTGCAATAGGAACGGAGACATGTAGCTGCAGTTATCTGTTACTTACAGTCATTTTGATATTTTTAGGCTGACGTGAAAGATCTTGTGAAATATGAACCTAAGATTGCACCACTGGTGTCAAGAGGGGAAACAGTATCACAAAGCAAGTTTATCACCCCTGACGATACCAAGAGCGTAGAGGATGACGGGAAAGCTTTGAAAGAAAGATTTGATAAACTCAAAGATGAGGAAACAGACCGCAAACAGAAGTAAGTTATTGCAAGATGTCTGTATTAGAGAGGTGTTTGTGTTAAGAAGCGGTCTGTATTAGAGGGGTGTCTGTATTAGAGAGGTGACTGTATTAGAGAGGTGTCTGTATTAGAGAGGTGTCTGTATTAGAGAGGTGTCTGTATTAGAGAGGTGTCTGTATTAGAGAGGTGACTGTATTAGAGAGGTGTCTGTATTAGAGAGGTGTCTGTATTAGAGAAGTGTCTGTATTAGAGAGGTGTCTGTATTAGAGAGGTGACTGTGTTAGAGATATGTCTATATTGGAGAGGTGTCTGTATTAGAGAGTCTGCAGTAGGGAGGTGTCTCCTTTTATTTTTCAGTACTTTTTTTAGACGAATATTGTAGCAAACTGTAGAATTTTTCAACTAGCTGATAACTATTCTGCAACAATCGTCTTTTTTCTAATGTTTTCTAGATTGGATGACAAGATACAATGGTTGACAGATTATAAACAATATCGAACAGACGCTGATGGTCTAAATGTCATGCTTGATGATATTCAAAAGAAGTTGGAATCTTGTGAAAAACCAACCAGCAACAAGGCTGAAAGAGACAAACAAGCCTCGTTCCTCAATGTAAGTTTCAGCATGCCAGAAAAAGTGGAAAGCCACATTTTTATAGCATTTCATTGGAGAGGCTTTTTTGGGGTAAGGGTGCACAGAAATGGTCTGTGTTTTAGTGATTCTGACCTGGTTTTAACATGAAGAGACCTGGACTGGCATGGTGTTCCCCACCCCCCACAGATAGAGTGTGTACCCAAATTGAGTAAATGGGGGGCCCTGTTAACTTAATGATAAGCTATTCTAAATAGCTAATCTATGCTCTTATGTGTGACTAAATTAACTTATTTTACTACAGAAATTTAGCAAAGATCAACCTGCAAATGACAAACGGGTGGACACTGTTGTCGAACTTGGCAACAAACTGGCTGATGCACCAGGGGTACCTGAGGATAAGCCGGATGAAATTAAAGAAGAAACAAAGACCATGGGGGACACGTGGAGGATAATTGTGCTGAAGGTTGAAGAGCTGCAGAAAATGTGAGTCATTATTTTAAAGTTTTATTATTTTTTAGTTTTCGTGTTTTTTATTTGCATTAGTTTATCTGCATTGGTTTATGTTTTCAGTGTGAGTTCTGGCATCCAGAATATTACTGAACTGAGTGATTGGCGTAAAGAATACACGACTGTTGTGAAATGGATTGATATGAACGAAAAGAAACTGGCCGCGCAAGGAGAGCCTGGTGATCAACATAAAGATCTATCTAACAAATGCACGACACTTGATGTAAGCATAAGATCATTTTCAGATTCTGTCGGTTTAAGATTTTAAAATTTAGCCGGTGACGCGATTGCGAAGTTATCTCGAGAAATGTCTATTTCTTTTTGTTGCAAGGAGCTAAGCCATCAGAACTTAACAAGTTTTCCATTATACCATGTCGATGGTTTCACAAAGATAATTTAATATAATATTTTTTGAAGGAAATGGTGAACGTGTTGCCAACATACGAAACCAGAGTCGTTCTCCTGCTTGAGAAAGGCGATCAGTTGGCAAAAGAACCGTCAATCGACGACACTGACCGAAAACAAACCGAAGATGACACGAAAGCATTGCAAGAAAGATGGGATAAATTGAAGGCAGATGAACAGGACAAAAAGAAAAGGTGCGTCATCAATTTATAAGGTCTAGATCATGACGTGTACATATATACAACATGCTCTAAATTGTTCTATTTTTGTTGCAGATTTGATGATCAGAAAGGCTTTGTTGAAGATTACCAAGATTGGAAAGACAGTGCGAACGAATTGAAACCTTGGTTGGATAATACTAAGAAAGAAATGGATGCATGTGAACTACCAACGAGTGATCATTCGGTCAGAGACAAACAAGTCAATTTCATTAAGGTTAGTTTATAATATTTGAGTGTCATCATCTTCCTATACTATCCAGGCTCGTGGCTGGTTGATTATAACAATGAAAAACAATAAAACTATAAAAATCGTCTTTCTAAAGAGCGAGTCACGAACAATGATGATTTTTGTTTCTGATTTGTTCCTGAAAGCCAATCACAAAACATGATCATTTTAGGTAGGTCTTTACCCATATTTGACCAGTGGGGAATAAAGGCTGATTACGAAATACAAGCTGTGTGGTTTAATGTAGCAGTAAAGTTTCTTTCAACTTAAACGATATGTCACGGTGTTAATTACTTATATTTTCAGGTATTTTCTGACGACAAAGAAAAGAACCAAGGTCGCGTAGACAGTGTTGTTGATGGAGGTGAACATCTCTTGAAAGAAAACCCTGTAGCTCAAAAAGACGAGAAAGACATCAGAGATACAGTCAATAACACTCAGAATTCATGGAACACTATTTTACAACGCGTTGATGGTGTTGAACAAAGGTTTGTGAATATTTATTTATGTTCTTAGATATGTTCTTTGTTATGGTAGAGAGGAGGGCTTATTAGAGAGAGGGGATCTTATTGGAGAGACGGTGGTTTATTAGAGGGAGGGTGGCTTATTAGAGAGAGGGTGACTTATTAGAGATATGGTGGCTTATTAGAGACGGGGATGGCTTATTAGAGTGAGGATGAGAGAGAGGGGGGCTTATGAGAGAGAGGGGGCTTATGAGAGAGAGGGGGGCTTATTAGAGAGAGGCGGTTGTTTATTAGAGAGAGGGAGGCTTATTAGAGAGAGGCGGTTGTTTATTAGAGAGAGGGGGGCTTATTAGAGAGAGGGGGCTTATTAGAGAGACGGGGGCTTATTAGAGAGACGGGGGCTTATTAGAGAGAGTGTGGCTTATTAGAGAGAGGGGGTGGTTTATTAAAGAGAGGGTTGTTTATTAGAGAGAGAGTGAGGCTTTATTAGAAAGAGGGTGGCTTATACGAGAAAAGCTAAATAAAGGATTAACGCTATTCTTCTAGTGTCACGTCAGGAGGTCAAGACATTATCCAGTTAGAGGAATGGCGTGATGGGTGCACTCAGTTGAAAAAATCTGTAGACAACGCCAAACAGCAAGTTCGTAACTTGAAAAAACCCTCCAAAGATCCAGCTAAGATGCAGAAACAGAAAGATGACTTCGATGTAAGTGCTTTAAAAATCCACACTTTCCAAGTTAAAGACACTGGCAATAATGTGCATGAAATTGTGAGCAAATAACTATACATGTTTAACATCTAATTGGGAGCAGTTTGGAAAAATGCACTAGTCAGGAATCACCTTAACTAGCTTTACTAACATTACTATTGTTTCAGGTGATTTCTGGTCAGATGGACAGCAGTTCAGATAAAATTAACGATCTCTCGCAAAAGGCAGAATATCTTATCAGCACTTCATCAATATCGCCCAAAGATAAGGACAAAGTGTCTCAAGATTTGGAACAATTGAATAATACCTGGAAGAATTATAAAAACGAAGAAGATACAGCCAGAGCAAGGTGAGTGTGCTACACACGTAAAAACACACAAGGTGTAACAAACCTACAGCAGACTTGCTGTTCCAACAACTTGTCAACAGGATGTGTTCGCACTGATTGTTTCAACAACTTGTTGACAACTTGCTACAAGGTTGTTGCGCTCAACAGACTTGTTACAAGTTGTTCCAACAACTTGTTATCGTCTTGCAATTCAACAATTTGTCAACAAGTTGTGAGTGACACCCTTGTAACAACTTGATAGAATAAAGCATTGTTACAACTTGTTCACAAGCTTGCTACAAACATGTTGCGAACACATCTTGTTGACAAGTTGTGAGATTTTTATGTGCTTAGTTGAAATTATGGTATTGTTGCTTACATGCCTTTTCTTGTCACACAGAATACGCAAACTTAGGATTGCAAGGTTTTGAGTGAATGAAATGGCTGTACATCAGAAGATGTCTTAAACGTTTCAGACGACTAAGTTGTCTAATATAACATATTTCTTCTAGTTTTGATGCTCAACCAAGACAGATAGTTACTGAAGACATTGAAGTTCAGAAAAAGGAAGATCTGGTCGTTGAATCAACATTCGAGGTTTATATAACTTATTTAATACTGTAAAATCTGTTCCAAAGCATAGCGAACTTGTGGAATCTGATCTGTGAAAATCTGTGATGTTTTTATGTAAAGTTGGTATATGTACTAGCAACAGTATTGGTGTCAAAATATAGCTTCAAATGGCCCCAAGAATCTCTAAACTCAAAAATATCGGACAATTGTTCCCAGAAAATATTTCCCTCAAGAAAGAAAAAATATTGTAAAAATTTAGAAAAAATTTTCACGGGAAATTTTTGTCCTTGTGTTGATTAATTGCCGAAAATTTACAATGTTCTCATCCGGTCCCATAAAGTATTTGGCTATTTTGGGTAATTGGTTTGTACACGCCCTGAACTTCAGAAACACTCCTAAAATCTTGCATCCTAGCTAAGACCCTGTCTCATAATTCTTCCACTTTGTGAAAACCACATATATAAAAGCAATCCTTTTGACTCATTGCTAACTCGATTGGCTAAAATATTCGTTAATTGTTAAACATTTTTATAACCTGCTCTTATTTAGGATATTGACGAACTGTTCCAGGCACAACCTGAAACTGTAGATTATGGAGAGTGGAAAAACAATGTTGCAGAACTCGAGAGAGTTCTAGATGATGAGGATGGAAAGTTTGATCCCAAGTCAGATATTGAGAAAGAATATTCAAACTTGGAGAGACTTGCACAAGAAACAAAGGTAGCATTTGTACACTACTGTACATCATGATACCTTAATGTTTACCAGTACTTTTATATATAAGAGATGTTCCTCACTGCACCTCTAGGAAGAACGGTTTAGAACTGATAGAGCTATCCAGTATAAATAAAGTTAGTTTAGTTTAGGTTTCCTCCTGTAGTAACACTGGATCAATAAGAGATGATCCTTACTGGACCTCTAGGAAGAACGGTTTAGAACTGATAAAGCTATCCAGTATAAATAAAGTTAGTTTAGTTTAGGTTTCCTCCTGTAGTAACACTGGATCAATAAGAGATGTTCCTCACTGGACCTCTAGGAAGAACGGTTTAGAACTGATAAAGCTATCCAGTATAAATAAAGTTAGTTTAGTTTAGGTTAGTAACACTGGATCAATAAGAGATGATCCTTACTGGACCTCTAGGAAGAACAGTTTAACCATATTCCTATATTTCAGGATTCCGGTGTTACAGTAGATGATGTTTGTAAACCTAAGTTGGCCAAGATATTATCGGATGGTAATGGTCTTATCAACAGTAAGCAACTTGATCCAGCTGATGAGACGGAGGTTACTGACAAGATGGCGTCTTTGAAAGACAGAACACAAAATGTTGATACCGCTGTTACTGTCACCAGAATGAAGTAAGTGTACATGGCTCAGAAGATGTTTTCAAAATTCACTAGAATGTGTATTCACTGGTATTTTAGCATCAGCACATGTTGTTTGTCAAATGTTTGTTGATTTGAGCAATTTCTTTTTAACTACTGTAATAACGAATTTTATGATCGCATGATGTTAATGTATCTTGTCAGAGAAGGCATTCATGCCATAATTATGTATGTTTGTATAAATGTGTTTCCCAGTGGCGAGCAGTTAGGAAAAGTGATTTTTAAAAGCGAATGTTAAGAAAGTAAATTTTGTTTTCCCAAGGGTTCGAGATGCTGCTTTGGAATACTTCAATAACAATCTCAACGAATGTTCAGTGAATGTGAATAAAATACAAGAAACAGCAAAGACTTTACGTCCTCCAGCAAATGACTTGCCTGATCTTCGCATACAACTTGCCTCCATGAAGGTAACCTATCTCATAAATTCAATAATTCATGTTGGTGATGATTATGCTGATTGTAATGATGGTGATGACGATGGTGATAATGATGGTGATTTTGATGATGATGGTGGTGTTGGTGACTGGATTGATGGTGGATAGTGATGATGTGGTGGTGGTGGGTGAATGGTGTTGATGGTGGTGATGATGAAGATGGTCCCCTGATTGCCAGTGGTAAAAGGTCCAGCTGTACAACTTAAAACTTTCTGTTCCTCTTTTTAAAAGTCCTTAGAGAAACGACTCGGAGAGGATGGTGATAAAGTGCAAGACATAGAGGAGAAAGTGAACAAGATGGAAGATGCTGGTGTTTTACCCCGGGATGGTTTTGCCGGTACTCTAAATGACAGATGTGATGAAGTAAGGAAGGAACAACAGAATGTCAATGTCTCTATCGAGGAAGCTAAACCAAAGTACGTTACAGAATACATGTACCCCTGATTAAAAAAAAAAAAAAAAATAACTTTATTTATACTGGATAACTCTATCAGTTCTAAACTGTTCTCCCTAGAGGTCCAGTAAGGATTATCTCTTATTGATTCAGTGTTACTACAGGAGGAAACCTAAACTAAACTAACTTTATTCTGGATAGCTCTATTAGTTCTAAACTTTTCTCCCTAGAGGTCCAGTAAAGATCATCTCCTATTGATCCAATGTTGTTACAGGGGGAAACCTAAACTAAACTAACTTTATTTATACTGGATAACTCTATTAGTTATAAACTTTTCTCCCTAGAGGTCCAGTAAGGAACATCTCCAATTTAAAGTAAATTTATAATTTAATACAGGTTACATCGTGCTTTACTCAATCAATTAAATCGAACACAAAAGGCTGTGAACAAGTGGTTGAAACTGTGCGAGAAGAAAGAAAAAAATATCGACGTCTCGAATGTAAAAGATCTTGAAAAAGCACGTCAAGAATGCTTGAAACTGAAGGTAATCTAAAGTTAAGACATGAGGGAAAACAACGAAATGAAATAAAGCACGCTGCAACATAAAAATAAAATAAAATATGTGCTGCTTTGTTTTCTTATAAACCTCATTTGCTTATTGGGTACTTGCTTGGATCACAATTAAAAATGAGGCTTAAATCACTCAATTGGTGATATAAGAATATGAAATTCTTTGAGTGAATAGCAATTTTCAAGAAACCAGTTTCGTAAAAGCATTAAATCTGTCATTAAATTTGAGGGAACTCGGTGTTAAAATCCGTTGAACAGTCCTCTCAAAGATTTCTTGCAAGTTAATCTTTCAAAACTTACAATAAACCCATGCAAAAGTCCTACTGTGATCACAGAAACTTTGATAGTGTAATCCAGCCTTAATACAAACGCCGCTTTGATAACTCTACTATTACAGTACTTAGGCAGACATTAAATAAAGTTTTATCTATTACAAATTTTTCCAGCAAGCGAAGGCTGAATTTGACAAAGGAGACCTTCAATACATCACTTTAATTGAAGTACACAAGGAAGCTGTAGATGACGGAATACTAGTTGACAAGAAAGCTGTGGACTTCGACAAACAGATGGATGAACTGACTACCAGGCATGATGACCTGAAGAAACGCTTGGGAGATAAGGACGTCGAGTAAGAAGAATGCCTTTGATTGAGTTATACATTTCTCAAAGTATTAATAGTTCATGACAAGAATTGAATATTTAATCAATGTCCAAATCGAGTTTCGTCATCACTAACATAACCTTTTCATTCGCAACTTATTCTTATATTTTGGTTCATTAAAGGCTTCTCAACTATGTCCGACAGTCCACAGAAGATGTGTTGAATTCTGCAGAGGAAAAGCTCGAAGAACAAAAAACGTGGCTGGAACCGGAAGAACCAGCTGATAATTTCACTGATTCGAAAGAACAACAGGATCAGATGAAGGTGAGAATATATTTATATTCTGTATCGGTGTGTCAGTCAAGGCTAGTACTGTACTGTGATAGTTCAGAATGCATATTGGGAAAGCAATTGGCATCTTTTAATTTATACAATCGGAAGATTGTCAGAAGATTGACCTCTACCAAACGCTTTTCACCAAATGCATTGCATTACTGCATCCATGATAAATAAAGTTAGTTTAGTTTAGGTTTCCTCCTGTAGCAACACTGGATCAATAAGAGATGATCCTTACTTACTGGACCTCTAGGAAGAACAGTTTAGAACTGATAGAGCTATCCAGTATAAATAAAGTTAGTTTAGTTTGGGTTTCCTCCTGTAGCAACACTGGGTCAATAAGAAATGATGCTTACTGGACCTCTAGGAAAAACTGTCTAAAACTGATGGAGCTATCTAGTATAAATAAAGTTAGTTTAGTTTAGGTTTCCTCCTGTAGCAACACTGGGTCAATAAGAAATGATGCTTACTGGACCTCTAGGAAAAACTGTCTAAAACTGATGGAGCTATCTAGTATAAATAAAGTTAGTTTAGTTTAGGTTTCCTCCTGTAGCAACACTGGGTCAATAAGAAATGATGCTTACTGGACCTCTAGGAAAAACTGTCTAAAACTGATGGAGCTATCTAGTATAAATAAAGTTAGTTTAGTTTAGGTTTCCTCCTGTAGCAACACTGGGTCAATAAGAAATGATGCTTACTGGACCTCTAGGAAAAACTGTCTAAAACTGATGGAGCTATCCAGTATAAATAAAGTTAGTTTAGTTTAGGTTTCCTCCTGTAGCAACACTGGGTCAATAAAAAAATGATGCTTACTGGACCTCTAGGAAAAACTGTCTAAAACTGATGGAGCTATCCACTGATAGAGCTATAAAAAAAACCCAAAATTTTTCTCATGGAAAGGTAACTGCATTTTGTTTATCCACAATAATTTGTTATTTGAAGGATCGTGAATCCACCATCAAAGAACGAACGAGCGATATTATTGTTCAACTTGGTCCAGTTGAGACGATCGCCACAGGAGAAATACTACCTCTACCAGAATCAACAGCTCTCAAACGTCGCATTACTGATGTCAGAACTAAATTTAATGCTGATATCCCTGCTGCCAAAGAAAAGTCGCAAAAGTAAGCGATCAGTGAATTCTTGAAAATCATTTTTAAGGTTTAAAAAATATTAACGATAATAACATAATTTGATGATTGGATTAACTGGGGTTTTTTATTATTAAGGTTTAGCAACAAAAAAAATTGTTTACAGGAAAGCTAGAACAGGGAGTACTACCCTAATAGAGGGAGTACACCCTATTTTTGTTTATACACTTTGTATGTATATTCTTCCAGTTTGAAGGAAGGTTATGGCGAGCTTCTGAAGAAGGAAATTGAGAAACGAAAAGCGTGGCTTGATGATGATCATGAGGGTCACATTCCTGAAACCGACACTGACTTTAAAAACTTTAAAGATTTCAAGGAATTCAAAGTAAAATATGACCAAAATAAGGTATTGTTGCAAAGTGTTCAATGCTTAAGATATACCACCCTTAGCATGCTTGCTATATACATGTATAACCGTAAAGAAATGATTTAGAGTACAGTATATCATATTTATAAAAGAAAAGTTGTGCAGATTTAATACAATATGAAGATAAAAATGTTAGCTATTATATGACGAGGCATTGCCCTATATGCCATTAAAAGCTTACATGCAACATTCAAAGATATTATAATTACAAATGATTTATATAGTTGATGAACTAGTTTCATTAAAAAATATTCTTTGTTTTTGAATCATGTAGGAGTTTGCCAAAGAACTTGACGACAACAGCATCCAAGTTTTAATTGAAGAGGCGGACAAGATTGATGGCATTGAACCAGAACTGAAAGATGAACTAAACGGTTTAGACGAGCGTTGGGATAAAATCCATGATGCTACAAAGGATAAAAATGTCTTTTATGATGATCTCATGACAAAGTGGGCTGCGTTCCGTGAACAGCAACTGACCTTGTTAAACTGGATTGATGAGAAAGATGCTGATGTGGCAGGCGGGAAAGATCAAGTGAATCTTGCTGATGAGGATGACGTCGCTGAACACATCAAGAAACTCAAGGTAAGAGAACGAAATATGTTTGTTTGTACTTATAATAATTCTTGTTCTACAAGCTCTAATCTCGGAATAGGGTGCTGTGATCGTTGTCTCTATTCTTCGAGTCTTCTTCATTAAGTGTACTATAAGTGCCTAAGTACCTTGATGTTTATATCTTTTTCTCTCTTCTTTTCTCTTTATTGTAAAACTTCTCTGACCAGCTCTCCTTCATCTCTTATTATGTGTTCATACCATCTCAACCTTGCTTCCCTCGCCTTCTCTGCAATGTCTACTACCTCGCATCTTCTGATCTCTTCATTCCATAATGTCTCTGACCAGCTCTCCTTCATCTCTTCTTATTACGTGTCCATACCATCTCAACCTTGCTTCCCTCACCTTCTCTGCAATGTCTACCACCCCACATCTTCTGATTTCTTCATTCCATAATGTCTCTGACCAGCTCTCCTTCATCTCTTCTTATTACATAATATCCATACCATCTCAACCTTGCTTCCCTCACCTTCTCTGCAATGTCTACCACTCCACATCTTCTGATCTCTTCATTCCATAATGTGTCTGACCAGCTCTCCTTCATCTCTTCTTATTACATAATATCCATACCATCTCAACCTTGCTTCCCTCACCTTCTCTGCAATGTCTACCACCCCACATCTTCTGATCTCTTCATTCCATAATGTCTTTGACCAGCTCTCCTTCACCTCATTACATGTCCATACCATCTCAACCTTGCTTTTTTCCATAATGTCTTTGAGATGCCTCCTGACATAACATTAGTAGAAAACGAGACCTTATTTACCACTTCTAACACCAGGCATTATTTATCTCTTATGAAATCAATCTCGTTTTCAGGATGTGAAAGAAGAAGCTGAGATTCAAGGAGCATCACAAGAAAAGAAATTAAAAGAAGCCAGTGACGATTTGATCCACCATCTTGGTGACGATTCCCCTGCTGCTGTGGAGATCAATAAACAAGTGGAAGAAGTTGATTCAGTCAGACAAGATTTTATCAATGACATCGGGGATAGAATTGAGAAGGTGAGAGTTTTAATTTTGAGGAGAGCACATGCTTCTGAACTAAATTAACTTTATTTATACTGGATACTTGTATCAGTTCTAAACTGTTCTTCCTAGAGTTCCAGTAAGGATCATCTCTTATTGATCCAGTGTTATTACAGGAGGAAACCTAAACTAAACTAACTTTATTTATACTGGATAGCTCTATCAGTTCTAAACTGTTCTTCCTAGAGGTCCAGTAAGGATCATCTCTTATTGATCCAGTGTTACTACAGGAGGAAACCTAAACTAAACTAACTTCATTTATACTGGATAGCTCTATCAGTTCTAAACTGTTCTTCCTAGAGGTCCAGTAATGATTATCTCTTATTGATCCAGTGTTACTACAGGAGGAAACGTAAACTAAACTAACTTTATTTATACTGGATAGCTCTATCAGTTCTAAACTGCCTTCTACTAAGAGCTATCACTCGTTGGTCCAGTGTTACTACAGGAATTGCAGAAACCGAACAGAACAGATTTGGTATAGCTTTTCCTATATGGAAAAACATTTCAATTTTCTTTGAAGAAAGACTTTACACATCTTTGGAATGCAAACATACGCTAACAAAACAACGTATTTTATTTAGATTGAAACTAGTGAACTGAAAACCAGAGATTTGTACAACGACATTGATGATGTAACGACATGGTTAGATACTACAGAAAATCTCATTGACACGTATGAAACTCGTGAAAAACAAGCTGCTGAAGATGATGGTTCACGTGCACAGGGCGTGCCTCAAGAAGGAGAGGTTGAGGAAGAGATGGTTCATGTCGTGGAGGAAATTTTGGTTAGTTTAACTTCAATCAAAAATCAGTGCATGTTCTGGGTAGGGTTCCAGTGATTAGAATGTTCCATTGTCTTTTCATTATTTTGAAAATCTCACTGTTCTCCATGCCATCCAGTCATGATCCAGTGATCAGAATATTCCATTGTCTTTTCATTGTTTTGAAAATCTCACTGTTCTCCATGTCATCCAGTCATGATCCAGTGATCAGAATGTTCCATTGTCTTTTCATTGTTTTGAAAATCCCACTGTTCTCCATGCCATCCAGTCATGATCCAGTAATCAAAATGTTCCATTGTCTCTTCATTGTTTTGAAAATCCCACCGTTCTCCATGCCATCCAGTCATGATCCAGTGATCAGAATGTTCCATTGTCTTTTCATTGTTTTGAAAATTCCACTGTTCTCCATGCCATCCAGTCATGATCCAGTGATCAGAATGTTCCATTGTCTTTTCATTGTTTTGAAAATCCCACTGTTCTCCATGCCATCCAGTGATCAGACTATTCCATTGTCTTTTTATTGTTTTGAAAATCTCACTGTTTTCCATGCCATCCAGTCACCTATTACTTTTCCATAGCTAATACTGCTTTCTCTTGTCAGGCTAAACGTAAGGAAATTCCAGAAAGAGAATTACAGCTAGACAATGCTGTGGTATGTGTTGGCCAGTTAGGTGACCAGTTGGATGAAACCACTGTACAAAGTGCTCAGGGTAACGTCAACGACATGAAAGACCGATGGGGTGTTGTCACACAACGATTGGATGACTTCTGTAATCGAGATATACCAGTAAGTATGACTAGAATGATTGGAATTTGATTTCAAAGACCTGAGGGATTGAATTTTATCTATTTTTTCATTAATATCGTCAACCATTTCCCAGGAAATTGAAATTGCTGAAATCAAAGCAGAGCACCTCGAAGAGGACTCACTAGATGAAACAGACTTGAAATCAGTTGTACCGCTGGATGAATGGCGAGAAAAAGTCAGGAAAGTGAACTTACTGTTGAAATATGTTGAACGATTAGTGGGTGTTAATGCTGATGGCAAAATGGATTATCCAAGTATCAGAATCTTAGCATCCAATACAAAGGTAAATTTGACTTTATATATGATTGTATGATTTATACCCTTACTGGACCTCTGATAGAGCTATCCAGTATAAATAAAGTTAGTTTAGTTTAGGTTTCCTCCTGTAGTAACACTGGATCAATAAGAGATGATCCTTACTGGACCTCTAGGAAGAACAGTTTAGAACTGATAGAGCTATCCAGTATAAATAAAGTTAGTTTAGTTTAGGTTTCCTCCTGTAGTAACACTGGATCAATAAGAGATAATCCTTACTGGACCTCTATGAAGAACCGTTTAGAACTGATAGAACTATGCAGTATACATAAAGTTAGTTTAGTTTAGGTTTCCTCCTGTAGTAACACTGGATCAATAAGAGATAATCCTTACTGGACCTCTATGAAGAACAGTTTAGAACTGATAGGACTATGCAGTATACATAAAGTTAGTTTAGTTTAGGTTTCCTCCTGTAGTAACACTGGATCAATAAGAGATAATCCTTACTGGACCTCTATGAAGAACAGTTTAGAACTGATAGGACTATGCAGTATACATAAAGTTAGTTTAATTTAGGTTTCCTCCTGTAGTAACACTGGATCAATAAGAGATTATTCTTACTGCACATCTAGGGAGAACAGTTTAGAATTGATATAGTAAAAATGGATGAATAAGAGATGATCTTTTCTGAACATCTTTCCAATATAAGTAAGGTACACAAATACTTTCTTGTTTCGTCTCTAGGAGGCAACAAAGACCATCACCTCGTACTGCAAGCCAAGGACGGAAGCTATCTCAACATTGGGCGACAACATTATTAACAATGATCCTCACAACATTGACCAAGGAGAAGAAATAACAACTAGCATTGATACACTCAAAAAGAGAGTTGAACTCTCAGACAATGGTGCTACTATACTGCAAATGAAGTATGTCAAGTTAACTGTTATATTCGGACTAAAATTCTGTTACTAATGTTCAGTCTTTAGAACTATACTGTCCTTTTGCTCATGTCAGCTCAACTGCGCTCATTTAATTCATATATGCTATTTTAGACTTTTGTGTCCATTTTGACCCGCTATTTTAGTTCGCTAATATCAGCTTGGATCTGCGAGGTACCTACGGTTAGACGCGAAAGTCTAACCATTTTACTGAAGTCAATGTAAAGATAGCTCTTTCTCTTTAATTATTTTAAGAGTTGGAGTAGAGGTCCGACCAAGGATTGAACCTAGCTCTCCCAGCTTTGAAAGACAAGCGTGGGGACCACGATACAATAAGTAATTTAATTCACTTTTGAATTAAATCACTAATGCATGATCTCGTTTGCAATCCGAAGCATTCTGCCTGTGTTTACTATTTATTTTTTATTCCAATAACTAGAGTGCGTGACTTGGCGCTGGAGTACTTCAACAATAGTTTCAACAACTGTGAAATTGCTCTCGAAACCGAAGAAGAGAATGTGAACAAACTCGTCAGCACAAAACCAGATCTTGAGACGACACAAGAACAGATGGTGCTCTTAAAAGAAGGACGGAAAGAGTTCAAGAAGAACCAAGAAGATTACGAAAATGTTGTTGATGAACTAAAGGACAAAAAGATCGCTGAGTTTTTGTCAAAGGAAGGATTTCAAGGCACTTTAGCAGATAAGAGTGGTAACATCAAACGAAGACGCGAAGCAGTGGATAAGAAATTGTCAGAAGCTGAAATACGGTACAATTTTAACAAGTATATTTAGCAGACATGTTATACTGTTGTGTGAAGAGTAAATGAATGTATTCCCCGAGCAAATTACATTCACCGATTCACGATACAAAGTTTCAGCACTCCAGTGCGGAGTTTTAATATAAGTAAAACTTCTTGATGAAGGGCTGAAAAATATATCTGGCATAGAACGTGATTGCTGTGAACTTATATCGTTAAAGAATATATCGTCGTCGTTGAGATACTTGAATAAAGAGAGAGGGCAATAGCTTGATTCGAGTTAACATCAGTAGAAACTAATTCCAATGTTCGATGATTGCACTGCCAGGAACAATGCTTTACTATTTTCTTTTATCTCTGTAGCATCCATCGTCATCTGATCACGCATCTGACTGACATGAAGAAACTTGTAGCAAAATGGCTGACATCTTGTGAAAAGAAAGATAAGTCAATCAATGTCGACCCCTCGCCAACACATGACCCACTGGCTGAATACAAAAAACTGAAGGTACGTTCTGTCATTCCTACAATCTCTTTTAATGCTTGATTGGAATATTTTAATCGGTTGTAAGAAAGCTTTGGATAGGGATGCCCGAAGAAAATACAAGAAAGCCCTTCGTTGCAACTGTGTGTTTGCTGAAATTGATGAAATTACTTATTCAGTAGCAGAAGCCTGTATTTTCATGCTGAAATAATTTGCGTTTGTCTTGTATCAAACATACAACCTCTCGCCTTCAGCTCGAGTTTGTATACCTATGTACAACACGAGCGGCCGTGTTCTGAAACTCCTTGATGAGAACATTCGTATTCTTCATTTTTTAAAAAAAATGAATGATAGTTGGCGAGAAAATTGAACTTACAGTTTGATGTAAATCAGCATGATTTTCTATCAGATATACAAACTCATTCTCACTCATGATTTCTTTTGTGTTTTCTTCATGAATTATTACATCTTCACAAACATTGCATCTAATACCATTCCATACTATATGGTAATATTTACAATAATATATAAGACAATAGCGTTGTTTTTCAAGCAATACTATATGCCTTATTTCCATGATTATTTGGTAGTCTCCTAGGATAATTGTACAGTTATAATCTGTTTTGCTTTTAGGCCTTGCGTGACGAGATGGACGAAGGTGAACCAAAGTACGAGGCTACCGTGCAGTTGAACAAACAACTGGTGACAGACGGTGTGTTGGAAGGAAGAAAAGTTGCCAATTCTGAGAAAGAACTTCAATCATTTGCTACAAAGCTTGCAGTGTTAGGGAAACATTATCATGATAAAAAGAGCGCGCTGTATACGATTCTTCTTAACCTAACTCAAACGACCATGGATGACGTGCAAGACGATATTAATGAAGCCGATACCAAGGTTGAACAAACAACTCTGGCTGGGAGGTTCCCTCAAGTAAAGCAAGATTTCCAAAATGCAAAGGTATTTTACTGATCCTAATGTGCTAAACTAACTTTATTCATACTGGATAGCTCTATCAGTTCTCAACTGTTCTTCCTAGAGGTCCAGTAAGGATCATCTCTTATTGATCCAGTGTTACTACAGGAAGAAACCTAAACTAAACTAACTTTATTCATACTGGATAGCTCTATCAGTTCTAAACTGTTCTTCCTAGAGGTAAAACTAAAAGCACTCTTCTCGGATGCAATTTATGTAGTGACAATTATAGCTCTTACGAAACGCATTAATAATTTTTAGCAAAAAAACATGAATTATTTGCAAATCGGAATGTTGTAGAATAACCCCCAATTTCTAAAGGCGTCATTCTTGACTAGTTGTCGATTCGCAAATCTTTTCTAGAATGTCAGGGATGAAGTTGATGAAGTCTGTGAGAAATCAAAGGACTCTCTGAGGGATGTTCAAGCAATCATAGCTGTGGATGTTTTCAACGACGAGGACAAGAAAACGGTGGATGATCGAAAGAATGAATTGAAAGATAAAAACTCTCAGTTGTCTGAAAAATCTGATGAAAAGTTTGACAAGTGAGTGACTCTTACTGGACCTCCTGTATAAATCAGTGTAGTTCAGTTAATTAATATTAAGCATGAGTGTCAGATGTTGTTATCCGAGGTAACCGCTTACTGTACCTGCAAGTGACTGAAGCTAACTGTAAACCTGCATGGGTCAGAAGGTCTTCTGTATAGTAGAAAAATGTTTCCAATATCTTTTCGCAATTCTGTGTTGACCGACCAGATTTAATAGGTGTCTCTTTTCTATAATACAGTATTCTCTTTGCAAACTTTGTGTGGCTTGACTATTTTCCTGTCCTGTGGCCAAATTTTATTTATCAAATCTCAAACCTGAAAAATATAAGCAGATCTTCGATGTTTCAAGGTAACTTCGTAGCGCAATCTGCCTTCGCTCGAAACGTCGAACATCTGCTTGCATTTTTCAGCCAGACACACATCTATGATGGACATATTAATAATCTTCCAATCTCGACCGTTATACTTCCCTGTTGCTTCCCAAGTTTATTAAGAATATTTTTAGTATAAGTTTAGTAAAAATATCCCTCCTTGTGCACATATTACAGGTTTGCCGAACAGTACAATGGAATTATCGAGAGTGAAGTAAAGAATCGCAAGATGTGGTTAGATTATAATGAATCTATGGTGAATATCAATGATAATGACGTTGATGACCTTCCTGGCTTTGCCAAAAAACTGGAGGAACAGAAGGTATATAGTGTGTTTATATAATTTATGACTTAGAAATCAATGTGTGTCCAGTCGTATTTGACTGCTACTCCAATTATTGCCATTTACTTGAGCTCGCAAACTTAAGACTCAATGTGTATTTCGTTTTTAAGATAAAATAGACACATAAAAACGCACAAGTTGTTACAAGTCTGCAAACAAGTTGTTACAAATCTGTTCACAAGCTGTCGACAAGTTGTGTTCGCACTGCTTGTTCCCAGTTGTAACAAGTTTGAAACAAGCTGTTAACAACTTGATGACATTATCAGACTTGTTACAAGATTGTTCTAACAAGTCCGATACAGTCATGATATAACAAGGTCATCAGTTTATCTGATTTTGTTATTTATGCAATCGTTTTAACATACGAGTTATGTGAACATGTGAATAAGGAGCAGCTATATTTTGCAACCTTTTATATACAACAACTTGTACTTGATGTGTTTTTGCTTGCACAGATATTCCAAGAAGAGCTTGAACGTCGTAAAATGGAAGGACTACTTGACGAAGCAAGTGATAATGAAGAACTCTCTCCTGACACGCGATTCATGATCTACGAACTCGATGACAAGTGGAATAACATCAATGACTGGTCTGAAGAAAGATTGGAAAAACTGGATAAGATTAACGTGGACTGGAAGAATCTTCGTGAGCAAGAGAAGGAATTGTTGGACAACATTGATGACCAGGATTCCAGATTGAAGTTGGTCTCTGCTCCTGTTGATCTTTCTGATAAAGACGAGACTGAGAATCAACGAAATGAACTCAAGGTTTGTGATGTTTATGCAAGAATCCTCATGAAGCCATAACAACAGGTTCCGCAATTAGTTGATTACAACAATAAACCCAACAAAAGTAAACATTGTTCACTTTTGTTCACAGAAGCCAATCGTAAACCATGTTCATTTTATGTTCGTATCTACCCAGTAGTTGTCAATCAAACATTTATTTTACTATTGTGTTTACTGACTATCTGTGTTAGTCAAATGAAAATGGTCCCGTAAGTGTCACTGTTCTTCCTGGAGGTCCAGTAAGGATCATTTCTTATTAATGCAGTGGAAACATTGTTACAGTAGGAAACCTAAACTAAACTAAACCAACTTAATTTATATTGGATAGCTCGATCAGTTTTAAACAGTTCTCCTCAGAGATGCAGTAAGGATCATCTCTTATTTGACCAAGTGTTACTACAGAAAGAAACTTAAATGAAACTAACTTTATTTATAGTGTATATTTCTATCATTTTCTAAACTGTTCTCCCTAGAGGTCCAGTAAGGATAATCTCTTGCAAAGCCCTGACTTTCTTTTCCTTATAAAGGATGTCCAATCTGATGCTCAGGAGCTTGGTTTAAATGTTGTGAAACTCCATAAAACTTCCAATGATTTGATAAAGCTTGTTGGTCCTGACAGTTCAGCTGGGAAACGTATGGAAAAAGAGTTTAATGACATGAGTACTTGCCATGCCAATCTCTGCACTGACACCTTGACTAAACTCAAGAAGGTATGTTAAAGATTTGTGTTTGAGTGACACCTAACCAAGTGTTATTGCAAGTAATTCAGTACATTGTAATTCCTCTTGCTTTGCATCCCTAATTCTTGCATTTGTCTCACAGCTCGACGCATCAGAAAGAAAAACAAAGGCTCTTTATGATCACATGGACGATATCAACGTCGCCATGGATGAAAGCGAGAACATCTTGAAATCTTTGAACGATCAAGTGAAAGAGGCTGAAGAAAAGAAAGATACAGCAAAAGAGGACGAAATCAATGAAAATGACAAAGAAAAACAAGAAGATGGAGAAATAGAGGATAAAAAAGATAAATCTCCTGACTTGAATAAGTTTGTTGATCAAATCTCGGTAAGTGATGTGAACGGTTGGTAATTTCATCATTTATTTCAACTCAAACGTGACAGACTCCGAAAGCTTACTAGGGCATATCTGGTTCCCACCGTACGACCCATCGTGTGAAGCACGGCTCGTGTGGAAGGGTTAGTTTTTGGTATCCGGAGAAAAAACCCTTGAAACACAGAAGAGAAGCAATCGTAACTTCGCTTGTACAAGTTTTAAGAAGAATAATCACTCATCTAAGGAAATACACTTCGAGCTAGAACAAAGTCTGGTTCACACTAGCAATTTTCTCGGCGGTTTTGTGTTTCTGACAGATGCAAATCAGTGAACTCGCACATAAAAGTATAGAGTCTCTTTTCAGAAGTCAACAATTCTAACGCCTGTATTCTAAAAGCTCACTCACACTCAAAGAGTGGAGGTTCAATCTGAGCTTCCCTTGACTGTCAGTGCTGTTTTTGAATAGCTGGAGGGTTAATGTCGTGCCTTACTATGTGACTACTCACCCTCCAGCTATTCAAAAACAGCATTGACACACAAGGGAAGCTCAGATTGAACCTCCACTCTTTGAGTGTAAGTGAGCTTTTAGAATACGGGCGTAGGTCTGGCTTTGGTCTAGTCTGGCTTATGCTGGTTGGCTGTTTAAACTACTGTGGTCAGCCAGTCAGTGAAGCAATAAGCTGAGCTTGTAAACGCGGTTCAATAGTTCATACCTTGTTTTTGAGTACGAGTGAGCTTTTTAGAGTACAGGTATAAGTCTTTTGCATCTCATTCATTCTATCACATTTGCTGAAGGAGAAAAATCGTCGACAGAATTGCCAGTGTGAATTTCACCAGGGTTAGTTCAGCGCGGACGAAGGGTCAACAGGAAGCCATGTATTTCTTTTTGTTTAGCTCCGTCTTGGCGAGCGTCCTGAGGAGAAAGCGCGCGTGCAACGTGCAAAAGAACTGGAGGCGAGTCTGGAGGAAAATCTCAGCGATGAAGCAAAGAATGTCCTTCAAAAACAAGTGGAAGATTTTGACGATCGTTGGGAAGATCTCTCCAAGAAAATGGACCAAGCTGTCAAGGAAAATGAAACCGCTGTAAGTACTCATTTATGTTTTTTTTTGTTTTTTTTGGGGGGGGGGTGGCATCACCTTCCTCGACCTCTAGGAAGAACAGTTTAGAACAGATAGAGCTATCCAGTGTAAATAAAGTTAGTTTAGTTTAGGTTTCCTCCTGTAGTAACACTGGATCAATAAGAGATGATCCTTATTGGACCTCTAGGAAGAACAGTTTAGAACTGATAGAACTATCCAGTATAAGTGAAGTTAGTTTAGTTTAGGTTTCCTCCTGTAGTGACACTGGATCAATAAGAGATGATCCTTACTGGACCTCTAGGAAGAACAGTTTAGAACTGATAGAGCTATCCAGTATAAATGAAGTTAGTTTAGTTTAGGTTTCCTCCTGTAGTAACACTGGATCAATAAGAGACGATCCTTACTGGACCTCTAGTATAGAACTTAACAGTATAGTTAAAATTTCCAGAATATTGATCATCTCTAATAAATGCGTTTTTTTCAAGGAGGAACCAATCAAAGTATTCCAAGTTGATGAGGTTGAATCAGCTCTACCTGAGGATCAAACTGTGGACTATGATGCATGGAAAGATGATGCAGCAGAAATTGATGAATCTATGTTGAAATCTCAAACTACACTTCAAGCTTACGATGTTGATATTAAAGATTACTCCAGTGTGCGGAAAGCAGAGACTGAAACTCAGGTTTGTCAGAGACTCTGAAATGGGGCTGGCATTGTAAGATTTTCCAGATTGACATTATTACTATTTCGTTTACAGGACGTCATCGACCACATGAACACAGAATTCAAACCAAAGCTGATCACGCTTCGTTCTTCTGGTGAGAAAATATCTGACCAAGATCCGGCTGTTACTGCAGATGAGGTTGATGAGATTGTTAACTCTTCACAGAAAAATCTTCAAGGATTACAGAGTGCTTTACAACTTCGAAAATTGAGGTATGTTATACATTATACATTATATATTATTAAGCTCATTCCCTCAGTGACTGATTAAATCGAGTATTACGCTTACTTATAGTACCTACTTAGACTAGACTATTTATCTTTACAACAATTGTGATATTGCTTTCTTAACTGTGTTTATCCTCACTCACCCTGTCAACTTTCCCTGTGGGAGGAAACCGGAGCACCGGGAGGAATCCCTCCTCCTCCAAAGTAATTTCGCATGGACTGGGCTTAGTTTTCCACTTCTAACGTCAGCAAAAGAAAAGGCGAGAAATAGAAAATCGTGTGAACAGATCTTCTCATTGGAAACGAGCTTCAGTTAATGCATTCAATTGAATATCTGTCATCAATTGTTCGTCTTCTAGACTACGTGATACTGCTGTCCAACATATGAACGAAAGGGTACTGAACTGCGAGGCGAATGTCGGTGATGAACAAGTGAAACTACAATTGCTTACACCGCCTGGGAAAGATCTTGATACTGTGTTGGATCAACTGTCAGCATTACAGGTACATTTCAGATTATAACGAATTGGAATATGTGTATGTATAACAATGTACGACTCTTTGATCTAAACTCGTCTTGAGCTAAGTACCAAATTTACAGTAATATACTTGTTTTTTGAGATGCTATATCAAACATTTGAAGTAATTTATTAAAAGTGATTTTAAAACAGCTCGAAACATGTCAAAGATGCTGCTAGTGTTTTGTTTTTCCAAGGTGTTTTAATAATTTCTTATATATTTTTTTATGATTTACTTTGTTTACAGGAAAGCGAGAAAACGTTCCAGACAAATCAAGTTGAGTTTGAAGAAGTGCAGGTTCACTTGAACGAATTGAAACAAAGCAAGATTCTGACATCTCCAGAATTCCAAGAAGAGTTTCAAGATGATTGTAAAGAGGTTGCAATTGATCGCGCGCAAATTCTTAAACAAACAAGAGATCACAAAAACAAGTATGTTTTAACTGAAGCCTAAACTAAACTAACTTTGTTTATACTGGATAGCTCTATCAGTTCTAAACTGTTCTTCCTAAAGGTCCAGTAAGGATCATCTCTTATTGATCCAGTGTTACTACAAGAGGAAACCTAAACTAAACTAACTTTATTTACACTGAATAGCTCTATCAGTTCCAAACTGTCCTCCCTAGAGGTCCAGTAAGGATAATCTCTTATTGATCCAGTGTTACTACAGGAGGAAACCTAAACTAAACTAACTTTATTTATACTGGACAATTCTATCAGTTCTAAACTGCTCTCCCTGTACAAATTATTTTCAGGCTGTATCGTGCCATAGTTAGCATTTTCGATGTGCGAAGAAAGGACATTACAAAGTGGTTAAAGAATTGTGAAAAGAAAGAAAAGGAAATTCCAAACGATGTGCAAGTTCTTGACGAGGCTTTGATTGCAGTGAAGAAAATCAAGGTAATTATTGTCGTGATGTTGTTTAGATTTGTGCTCGTTTTGTTGTAGTTGTTCGCAATTGAAATCGTCTTTGTTGTGAAAACTTGAATAGTAGCGCTTAATTTCCAACTACCCTTCTTACAAGTAACTTATTACTGAGACACGAAGAACCGTTGCAATGCTGACGCCATGGTCCTAGCAAGTGCGCTTATAATATGCATTCACCCCCCCCCCCCTGAAAATGTTCAAAATGGCGGACGTCCAGGGGGTAACAACAAGAAATTGCTATGAATTACATTCTTTGATACCTTTACTGTTATGTTCTGGTAAAGACAAGCAAATAATTAATCTCGCTATTCTTAGAATGCAAGTAAAGTATGTTGCATGTTCCAAATTTGTTGCGCCACTATACGTGATAAGTACTAGTTAAAAAACATGAGCAGACGATCTTTATGTGATATACAATACAAACTGGAGTTGAAGGCGAGAGTTTGTATATCAGATAAAGATGGGATGCGAATGTTTTAACGTGCTTAAAATACAACCCATCTTATGAGTTCATTGGCGAAGTAATTTTAAAAATAAACATTGTCTAAGCCGAGAAAATCATAGCTGAAGTTTATGTAAATCAGGACAAATCTTTACCCCGATTCACAAACGTTGATTAAACATTCATTTCTTTGGAATTTTCTTCAGTATTTTAACAGTAGCTATGTTAGTATAAGCTTAAATATATTATATTCAGTTGTTGGAACTTTTAAGTAATCCTTGATTGTACCTTATATAGCACATACTTTGTTGCTTAGGCGTTGTTGTTTCAAAAAAAGCAAATTCAAAGTCTATATATTTTAATTGAAAACTTCAACGTGATAAGTTGGGCATTAAGCATGACATGTTTTGCAGGAGATGGAAGATGTTTTGAAAGAAGGAGAACCAAATTACCACGAGACTGGCGAGCTTGCTAAGACTATTTCAGAAAATGAAATTCTGGTTGATAAGAAAGCGAAGGATGCTGAGAATGACGTGAAGAATTCGTCCATGCGATACAACCAAGTCTTGGAAGATGTACAGAACAAGAAGAATAAGTAAGAAACAGTTGTCTATTTATATAGTCGTTCAAAATGTGACCTGGTTTCGGCATAGCCGTGGTTTGTGGCTGTAAAGTGTGCCTGTTTTAAGTATGTCTGTATAGCTAGGTTTTACTAAGCACTATTGTGCAGTCGATGGTGGTCAACCTACAGTTATCAGAGTGAGAAAATAATGTTCATTCTTTTCATTATATGTAGTATAGTCTTGTACTTGAAGGCTATGAAAATTGAGAGATTTCGTTTAATCTCGGTGGTCCTATAAGTGTCGACATTTCTGAAGCCATTTATATTGCTTATCCACTGATACAGTTGTTGATTTTTTTGCAATCTTTTTCAGGCTGTATAAAACTATCCATGAACTACTGACGCAACAGTTGGACGAAACAGAGGAGAAAGTTAAGAAAGGAGAGGATGTTGTGCAAGTCGAATCAAAGCCTGACGACCCGTCAGCCACTCATGAAGAACTCAGTAATTTACAGGTAAGTTAACGTTCAAAAAACTGTGCTACTCAATTAGTGAGCTACACTATCGAACCTACAGAGTCCAGTTGTCGAGCTCCAACCACAAGTTCTTGTATAAACATGGCAGGAAAAAAAGAATTTTGTTCCTGGGAGCACAACCTGGAGACAAAAATTTCCTCCAGACCAACGGAGTATTTTTGTGCTAAATCTGCATGTGCATAAACATATAGTGTTCTAGCTGACCATGGTTTTAAATTCAAGGAATAATGTCTGTCAACCATATGTTGTTGTGCCCATAAGTGGAACATGGGTGTTAATGTTTTCTTCAAGTTTCCAATAGCAAATCTTCATTGAAACGAATTTCCTGCAGCTGTTTAACATTTCCTGCGAGCTCGCCTATTTTTTCCACTCATGTGTATGTGTAAACTATCCTGATTGGTATGTATATATATTTATGTTATTAGGGTATCGTAGATTCAGCAGATGAGCTCAAAGAGGAAAGTGGGCAATTATTTGACAAGGCAAACACTTTGCTGTCAGCTGACATCTTCCCTCAAGATGATAAAAGAGAGCTACGAATGAGAGTGATTAACTTGGATAAAAGAGCTTACGAGTTGCCCGATGCAGCTAAGGACAAATATGAACAGTAAGTACGGAATAGTTTGTAATATAAAACCTCTATAAAGTACTATTTAAAACACGGGCAGAAGTGCTTTATCAGATATAAATTTGTATATGATAAACCACGAACTGCGAGTGTTTTAAATGGCTAAAAAAACTACCCATCTTACAGAGCCTGAAATAACGGTCGGCGGTTTTCCGACCAAATTTCAAATTTTTTTTTGTCACGTCCGGACAAATGTTGAAAAAAAATGATAATCTGTTTTTTTTAAATTATCGGGTCGGCGCTCAGTACAGTGAGTGCAGTATCTATAGTCTTAGATTATCTATACTAGTCTTATATAGAGTAATCAACTGGAAATTTATCAAAGTTTCTTCGATCAGAGTATGCTTTAAACAAACTTTAGTTAACTTAAATGTGTGACAGTGCATGAGTTACGAGTCAGAGTGACTGCTTTCATTGTTGTTAATTTGACGACCTGGAAGGTAAAGAGTACGTTTCCTCGACGTTTCGAGCAAAGGCCCTTCATCAGGACAGTTAAATAGGCTGTTTATTACAAGTAGAGTGATTTACTGCATGCTTGACATAATTTACTCAACGGAGGCGATCAAACTAAACTAAAAAATTTCCGACCAAATTTGAAAATTTCCGGTCAAATTTCATTTTGCTTGGAAGTTTTGCCGGACAAATTTAAAAATTATTTCAGGCTCTGATCTTATGAGAACATTGGGAGTAATTTTTAAAATAAACAATGTCTAAGTCGAGGAAATCAAAGCTAAAGTCTATATAAATGAACATGATTTGTATCACATATAAAACCCCGACACGGCAATGATTTCTTTTGTATTTTCCTCATGTAATGGATGACAGAATTTGTGTCAAAGCCATTAGTTCCACCCTATAGTATACTCATGACAGAATATATTGATATCGAAAAACTGGTTCAGTTCCGAAATATTTGAAATGACTTCACCTCGTAGCATTGTTGGTAGAGCATTAGACTAACAAACCAAAGGTCGCAGGTCATGTCAGTTGTGGACCTATTCGGAGTTTTATCAAAGAACAAATGACTAGAAAAGAGACTTGGCAAGATTTTAAATATGTATTTCTCGTGTTCAGAGTGTACAGTGTGTATTTGACACATCTTACAAAGCTGATACAGCTACGAACAGAATGGATAACAACCAGTGAACCTCGCATGGAACAGACTCATACAACTGATGCATCTGATATCCCCGACCTGGAGGTCAACCTCGCTGAACACGAAGTAAGTAATAACATTGATGGATGTGGGTTCTCCAGGGGGGAGCACTTAGATAAAACTGATACGACTTTCCAGTACAAATGTTTAATGCATTTTGCTTAATTGTTTACTGGTGTCTGCACTCAGGTGAAGCATATCCACATTGGACAAGCTAAAAAGTTAAAGTTTCCGCCGCGGTCACACTCACAGACAAAATCATTGTTATTTTTTGTCTTAGAATGGATGTATTTTTAAACGTCCTTGGTTATGTTAGAGACAATCTGGAACTAAACCAACTTTATTTACACTGGATAGCTGTATCAATTTCTAAATTGTTCTCCCTAGATATCTAGTAAGAGTACGGTTATCCCTTGAGTAGAGGCCATCTCCTATTTGGGCTAGTGTAACTGCAAAATCCAAGCACTTCTGAGAAAACTGGAAGCACTCTTCACAGGAAACCAAGAAATTATAAGCATTGACCACTGTGACATTAACACTGTAAAGTAGCCATTTTAGAAGCGCAACCAATTTAACTCCCTAAATAGTTTGTCAAAGATTACAAATGTAAAAATACTTCCTAGGTGTTTGAGAATGATCTGAAGAAGAACAACATTCGTTCTGTGCTAGAACAAATCCGAGACAAAAACGAGGTGGACCCAGAAGTGCCACTCTCAGAATTACTCAATCTTGAGAATCGTTGGGAGATCTTGCACACTTGGGCTGAACAACGGACGGTATTTCTTCAAGAAACTCTGCAGAAATGGAAAGCTTTCAGTCTAGAGCAACTTGCCTTGGTGGATTGGATAGACAAGAAAGATTCCGAGCTAAAGGAACTCGACACTCCTGTGAATTTAGCTGATGAAAATGCTGTACAGGAAAAAACGGAAACATTAAGGGTAAGAGACTGGTATTGATATATATTGATTGAGTTTACATCAGAGTTTCCTTATTCCTCGTGTCTCAGTCAAACGAGAACAGGAGTTGTATGAGAGTTGGCCAGCGAGAGTTCTCATGAGAGAATCTCCTCAACTCTCATCTCTCAGTGAAACGAGAGCAAGAGTTGCATGAGAGTTGACAAGCGACAGTTTACATCAGACTTGACCCAGTTATAGCTCGGTTAAACGAGAACAAGGGTTGTATGTGCTATTCGTACCCGCTACAATACGGGCACGAATGTTGTAAATAGCTTGTGAGAAACGTCTTGATGAGAACATTCGTATTCTTCAACAATTTAAAATAATTTTATTAATAATCTATTTTGTATTTGCAGAACCTGCAGATAGATGTCAGTCAACATTCTCCAAATCTTGATCACTTTAAGATCTCGGGAAAAGCTTTGCTTGAAGACCTTCAGCCTGAGTCAGAAGGCTACGAGCAAGTGGCTAAACAGATTGAAGATTTTGATAATTGTTGGAAGAAACTCGAGAAAGATATTGCAGATAAAATTGAAAAGGTGAGAATAAAAATTTTGATCTATTGTAACGCAGGACTAATAAGGTTTAATTTTTACTGGACTTCTAGGGAGTACAGTTTAGAATTGATAGAGGTATCGAGTATAAATAAAGTTAGTTTAGTTTAGGTTTCCTCCTGTAATAACACTGGATCAATAAGAGATGATTCTTACTGGACCTCCAGGGAGAACATTTTAGAACTGATAGAGCTATCCAGTAGAAATAAAGTTAGTTTAGTTTAGGTTTCCTCCTGCAGTAACACTGGATCAATAAGAGATGATCCTTACTGGACCTCTAGGAAGAACAGTTTAGAACTGATAGAGCTATCCAGTAGAAATAAAGTTAATTTAGTTTAGGTTTCCTCCTGTAGTAACACTGGATCAATAAGAGATGATCCTTACTGGACCTCTAGGAAGAACAGTTTAGAACTGGTAGAGCTATCCAGTATAAATAAAGTTAGTTTAGTTTAGGTTTCTTCCTGTAGTAACACTAGATCAATAAGAGATGATCCTTACTGGACCTCTAGGAAGAACAGTTTAGAACTGGTAGAGCTATCCAGTATAAATAAAGTTAGTTTAGTTTAGGTTTCTTCCTATAGTAACACTGGATCAATAAGAGATGATCCTTACTGGACCTCTAGGAAGAACAGTTTAGAACTGGTAGAGCTATCCAGTATCATTAAAGTAACATGTAGTTTATTCTCTAGGGTGGATAGTTTACAGATTACAAAGTAACTTTTCTGGTATTAAGATATTGATGGCCATGTATTAACTGATAATTGATCCTTTGAATTTCAAATAGATGGAGAGATCAAACCGAACAATCAAAGCAATCTACTCCTACATGGACATTGTCAGCAATTGGCTGGATGACACTGACGGAAAACTGAAGAAAATAGATTCTACCAGTGAACAATTACGTCATGTCAGTGGCTCGCCTTTCAGTTTCAGTGGTGATCACAGTGTGGACGGCACTCCTAAGAAAGAGCCTGAGGATGAGGTGAAGGAAGACGAGCAGGCGGAAGAAAAGACTGCGGAGGAATCTGAGGATACAGAGGAACCCGAGGGGTTAAGTGCAGATGAAAAGGAAGAACTGCGGGATACAATAGAAAAGATGAAAGATGATATCAAGGTTTGTGGTAGAAATGCATTTATATCATTCATATATCTGCATAATTTATCATTAAAGCCCCGGCCAAGCAAAGATAAGGTTTGATGAGAGTTTGCAGTCACGCATTGTTACAGGGGACATTTCAAGCTCTAGATTAACAAAATAAAGGTTCGATAAGTGTTCCAACTATGTTTTAAAGTAAATAGAATATATGATAGTGTTGGGAAAGCAGTAAGAACAGCTAACCAAGATCACGTAACTCTCGTGCACTCTCATCCTCGTCAAGTCGTTTGACAACATATGACAATGCTAGTGATTCTAACAAATCTAACTCCCTAGTAGCTGTCCACTGCTGAGCTAGTTTTTCACCAAAACACAACTGGAGTAACTCGAAATACTGCAGTGTTTGATAAACTGGAAGCACTCTTCTCACATGTGACTGAGGTGAAATTATAATCTGACAACTGTATATTGCAGGAATCAAACCTCAGTCACATGCTCATTCCCTTCATTGATCTTATTTCCACATGTTTAGGCTGGTTCTCATGTCAAAGATCTAAATAAAGCCCGTATTGACCGTGTTCGACTTCTGGTGGATGATATTCATACGGATATTGATGAGGATGGAGTAAACTTGATGGAGGAAAGGATTTGTGAGATTGGAGAGAGATATGAGCATATTGATACACGACTTGATCACATCCTTCAAAAAGAGGTTGGTGGCTAGAGTATCAATGTTATCCGTAAAGTACTTCTAGTAATGTCTAAAGTAGTACAAAGTGTGCGGAGAGTGATTTGTTGCACATATTCACGCTTTTACTGTTTTCAAAGCAGCATTTATCTTCTCACAAAACAGCACAAAATGTATTCCATTCAGTTGCTTTAAAAGAATCTAAAATAAACTAAACAAACATAATTTTATTTATACTGAATTGCTCTATCAGTTTTAAACTGTTAATTCTCCCAGTAAAGTCATCTCTTATTAATCCAGTGTTTCGACAGGAGGAAACCTAAACCAAACTAACTTTTAATATGTATACTGGAAGCTCTATCAGTACTAAGCTGTTCTCCCTGGAGTTTCAGTAAGGATAACCTTTTATTGATCCAGTGTTACTACAGGAGGAAACTTAAACTAAACTAACTTTATTTATACTGGATAGCTCTATCAGTTCTAAACTGTTCTTCCTAGAGATCCAGTAAGGATCATCTCTTATTGATCCAGTGATACTAAAGGAGGAAACCTAAACTAAACTAACTTTATTTATACTGGATAGCCTGGATATAGCTCTATAAGCTCCTAAAGGCCCTGACTAGCGCTATTTATCAAACATCTCGGATTTCGTCAGGGCAAGACCTGTATTTAACCCCTATAATACATACTTAGTACAGAATATTATATCAAGACGATGACTTCTTTTCCATTGTAGAAACCTGAAGATACTCCAAGTGAACCTGAACTTGTCACAATCAAGACCACCTCAGACCTTCAGTCTGCACCAGATGAAGAACAACTCCCCACAGAGGATACACCCCAGGCAACTGACACTGTAGCGACAGACAGGACTCCTGTGGAACCATACAGTGGTAAAGTAACCCTGGATCTCAAGGAATGGAGAACTGTCACAATAAGTCTTCGAGAGTTCCTCAACAGAATGCAATTGAACATCCGAGATGTTGATAGTAAGAATTACAAGGAGATGCGGGAATGTGAAGTTGATACTAAGGTACAATTCTTTGCATATTGGCTTGACAACAACCTTGTTACAACTTGTTTACTGATCTGTAACTAGCTTAGGTCATTATTTATGTCTGGGGGTGGCACCGAAGAGAAATGTTTTTCGTGGCAAAATTTTTGCTGACCCAACCATTAAAAAGTCAAAAATTTGATTACCCAACCTCAAATATCGATTAAAAAATAAATACCCTCCCCTGGCTTTACAAAACTTTACAAAAGGATACCATTCAGTTGTGACACATGTCCTTTACCACTTCTGTGAAATTTTCTGCAGTCTAAAGTTTCATGTTGTCTGCACATGTACTTTCTTTGGAGACAACATTTGTCTCCCAACAAATCGGAAAATGGTCAAGATAATGACTCTGATTAATTCACATATTGTATTGACATATAACTGTTGACATTGCTTTTTAGTCTCCAATATTTCAGTAAGTCATGCTTTGGAAATGACAATAAGTTTTTATTACCCAACCCTTGAGTTGTTTTCTTTTTCATTTGCCCAACCTTTTACTTACTCAAAATTTTGTTTACCCAACCCTTTTCTCTTCGGTGCCACCCCCCGCCATAAATAATGACCGCTCCCTTATTCACCTGTGTAGTCTAGGTTTAGCTAATTTAAAAGCAATGCGCAAAATATAAAATACTTGATACAATTACGTTACCACAAGTAACGGTTCATAGATGCGTGATACTACTGTTGAATTTAAACGTATACTATATTTCTTGCTTTTCCCATTATCTACATTGCATGCAGTCACCATCCCATTGTCTCCTACTGTTTCATAATCTGTCAATCATGAGAGGGGTATGTCCACAACACTACAACTAGAACTGAGCGAAAAATATGTGCAAAATATTTGCTAGTGTTTGCTGCAGACAGCTGCCAGGGCTGGAAATTACTGTCGGACATCGGACAATGTCCGACTAAATTTGGCAAATGTCCGAGCGAAAGTAATTTTGATCGGACATTGGTCCGATCACAAAAAAAATAATTGTTACATTATATTTTTGCTGTGACAAAATCCGATTGCAAATTCACTCAATTTGCATTTTGCAATAAAATTTACGAGGCGTTCTAATTCTACTTAACATTGCGCCGAAATGGCATATGTACATACTTGTCTCGTGACTTATAAATATCTTGTGATGTATATATGGCCGACCAAATTTAGTGATGTTGGTTTTTGTCCGACCAAATTCAAGTTATGTCCGACCAAAATTAAAAGTGATCGGACAAATGTCCTGTCAAGTCAAATATTTATTTGCAGCCCTGGCTGCTGTACTATGCGCGAAAAATAAGCCGCATGTAAAGGTTGATCACACGGAAAATTAGACAAGCAATCTTTTCAATTTCTAGACGTGTATTGACGCGATGGAGATCTACGGCAAGCCATGTTTGAATGATCTCATTCTGTCAGGCAACGGAATGCTCGATTCACCAGAGTATAACGAGGAGGAAAAGAATGAAATCCGTGCTGTACTGGAATCTCTTACTGTTGGAACACAGTTTGTCAACTACAATGCTAAAGACCAGAGATTAAGGTAATGTAATTATAATACTAATGGGGTGTGACGATGGTATAATGGGTTGGTGCTTGTCTCTTTAACCTCCATCACAAGATCACATGGGTTCTATCCGTATAATATACAGCTGGCAAGTGCTTCTAACTTGACTCTGCACTTGCAAAAGTTTCGCAACTTGTCAACAAGATGTGTTCACAGCAGGCTTGTAGCAGCTTTGAAACAGGAAGAAAGTTTCCTGTAGATTTGTTACAAGTTGTGCGTTTTTACGTATATACCATATGTTTGCAACGAATTGTAATTCTGGAACAGTTAGACTACCATTGTTGATTTTCTCAATGTTGTTTTCTGAAGGCTGTATAGTGCTCTCGTGACATACCAAAGTGACCAAAAGAAACTAGTCCAACGTTGGCTGAACTCTTGCTCCAAGGAATCAAGAGATATCAATGAAGATGTCGCTGGCTTGGAAGCCTCTGACGCTGAATACAAGAAAGTCCAGGTAGTTCTAAAATCAGAAATCTAAACATTGCCCCAGATTTTCGCCCGAATAGTGTCCAATGCTTGTTCATACCCTTAAAAAGTCAACAATTTCCCCTACATAGTATGACATCAATAGGGGGAAAATTGGGTTTCATTAGGCACAGCTGATTGTGATCAACTTGCAGTTATCTGAGTGAGGATGTGACACGCATTGCACGATGTGCATCGTGAAGCTATTGTTTTTCTCAATTTCAGCATCTGAAGAACGCGCTTGCCTCTGGCGAAGCGACCTTCCTCCATTACAAAGAACTCTCAAGACGAATGATTGAGAACAAAATCATCCTTGAAAAGAAGATTCCTGAAACTGAAAAAGATATTGTCAACTTTACGACCACCTACGACAACCTGCGAGCGGAGACCGAGCGTAAAGATAAATGGTAAGTTTTTACTTTTGGTAAATTCACCAATGGGTGGGTCAGCACATGCTGGTCAATTGCGAAAATGTTTACACTTAGTGTACCCCTCCCTAATAATAAGGCTCCCTCTCTTTAATAAGCCTTCCTCTCTCTAATAAGCCTTCCTTTGTCTACTAAGCCCCCCTCTCTCTAATAAGCCTCCCTTTCTCTAATAAGCCTCCCTCTCTCTAATAAGCCCCGCTCTCTCTAATAAGCCCCGCTCTCTCTAATAAGCCCACCTCTCTCTAATAAGCCCACCTCTCTCTAATAAGCCCTCCTCTCTCTAATAAGCCCTCCTCTCTCTAATAAGCCCACCTCTCTCTAATAAGCCTCCCTCTCTCTAATAAGCCTCCCTCTCTCCAATAAGCCTCCCTCTCTCTAATAAGCCCACCTCTCTCTAATAATTCTCCCTCTCTCTAATAAGCCTCCCTCTCTCTAATAAGCCTCCCTCTCTCTAATAAGCCTCCCTCTCTCTAATAAGCCCCCCTCTCTCTAATAAGCCCCCCTCTCTCT